TATTGCGTTGGTGATGCCATCCAACCATCTCATCCTCTGTCGTCCCCTTCTCCTCCCACCTTCAATCTTTCCCAGCATCAGGGTCTTTTCCAATGAGTCAGCTCTTCGTATCAGGTGGTCAAGGTATTGGAGTTTCAGCTTCAGCATCAGGACTGCCAATGAACATTCAGGACTGATTTCCTTTAGGATGGACTAGTTGGGTCTCCTTGCAGTCTAAGGGACTCTCAAGAGTCTTCTCCAACACTACAGTTCAAAAACACCAATTCTTCAGCCCTCAGCTTGCTTTCTTGTCCTTGTGATGTGCTAATTACTGACGTATAGATTAGTTTGGTATTTGCCTGTGTGTTTGAGCATACTTACAAGGGAAATACCATATCAGCTGGCACTTGAAGGTGAACTAGGAATTTGCAACTTGATTAAAATGTCTGACTAACCTTTATATCTATGAATTAATCTATAAATTAGCCTCTCTCTCTTTCTGTTTACTCTATAGCAAAGCATAATAGTTCTGGAACAGAAAATGACAAGGATTAAGATTTTAAAGCAAAATGAAGCAGCAAAGGAAAATCTGGGACTTGATTGAATATGTGAAACTTTAAGTTACATTTATATTCTAAATATTTTAGTTGGTAAAAATGTTTTTAACATAAGTAAATGTGGGAAACACAGTACTTTAAAAAAAGAGCTAAATTGCTAGAACATGTCTTCATCTAATCCCAGGACAAGGACTCAGTGATGGGGCAAAATTGAGAGTGTTAACAAGGTATTCATCTTAGATAGTAATGGCAATTCTGGCTGCAGTGGCAGCATGAGTTATGAGTATGGTAATTGGGGTCTTCAATCGGTGTGTTAGATTAGTGCACCATGGGTGTGTGCATGGGAAGTTTGGTGTGTGGAGGGGAAGTACAGAAGGAGGATTACTGGTATTCTTCACTTGGCTGAGTTTAAATGGAAGGGCTGAAACAGAAAGTGGGAAAATCAACATTTCTCCCCTCCTTTGGGAAATATGGAACTAGCCAACAAGATCCAATTAAAACACAGGGAAGTCAAGGGACCATTTTATAGTAATTCAGCCTTCTTAATCTCATGTTCCCTAAACCCAAAGTTGTTCACTCAACCCAGTAAGGTGCCCCCAATTTCCTTCCCATGTTAATGACATTCTGTGTTATAAAATATAGGATAGTAGAGGAAGAGGGTAAAACAGCATTTATTTAGAAGTTGAATCTTAAGATACCAACAAAGGAGATACCAACAAAGGTCCGTCTACTTAAAGCTATGGTTTTTCCAGTAATCATGTATGGATGTGAGAATTGGACTATAAAAAAAGCTGAGCGCTGAAGAATTGATGCTTATGAACTGTGGTGTTGGAGAAGACTCTTGAGAGTCCCTTGGACTGCAAGAAGATCCAACCTGTCAATCCTAAAGGAAATCAGTCCTGGGTGTTCATTGGAAGGACTGATGCTGAAGCTGAAACTCCAAAACGTTGGCCACCTGATGCGAAGAACTGACTCACTGGAAAAGACCCTGATGCTGGGAAAGATTGAAGGCAGGAGGAGAGGGGATGACAGAGGACGAGATGGTTGGATGGTATCACCGATGCGATAGACATGAGTTTGAGTAAACTCTGGCAGTTGATGATGGACAGGGAGGCCTGGCATGCTGTAGTCCATGGGGTCGCAAAGAGTTGGACACAACTGAGTGACTGAACTGAATCTTAAGATGGCACACCTATGCGTGCAAATTGTGTACTTTATTTATATGTAATTTTGTTAAACCCCCCAATATTGTCTTTGATTTTAATTTTTTTCAGCATTTTATCAAACAAATTTTAAAAATTACTACAATATTGAAAGAATAGTATAATAAACATTGATAGTTTTGGTATTCAACAATTGTTAGCAATATACCATATATGTATTATCTATTTATGAAATTATCAATCTATTAATTTATCTTCCCTGGTCCATGTAAACAACTGTAATTATTTTCACAGAACCATTTGAAGGTAACTTGTAGACAGAATGGCTTCAATATTTATCTCCTACATAACCTTGACAGCATTACCAAAAAATAAACAATTAATGATTACTTTCCAGTATTATTAATATCCAGTTCATATTGCAAGTTCCCCAACTGTCCTCCTCAACTGTTTATAGTATTTTGTCTTTTTGCCAAACCAGGATCCAATCATGGTTCGTGAATTACCTTTGAATCTTATATCTTTACTATGTTGTAAACCTCTCAAAGTTTCCCCATAACACTGAGCTTACCCCCCATTTTTATCTTGAATAATTAAAAACCTAGAGAAAAGTTGAAAGAGCAGTAAACAACACCATTATACAACTTTACCTTATTCACCGTCTGTTGGCATTTTGCCACATTTGGTCTCTGTAGCTCACTTGCTCTAATTATGTTATTTCTTCTACAGGGCATTTTTCTATAATATGTTTTTCTTCATTGTCTTAAGGTGTTAGTTATGTGAATGCAGGATGACTTAATACATTTCCCTTAGAATAAGAAGTTAATATAAAATATCAGCTTTAAGGATGGCAAATATTCTCTTTCAATTAAAAAAAAAGTAGCAGTATTCTCTTTGATGTCCAAATTTGGTCAAGAAGGACCCCTTCAAATTGGCTTTCATGTTCTGGAACTTTTCCCGCCCCACATATAAAATTAGTCATCTCTCCAAGGTATTCTGACTCCATTTAGTAGAAAATGATAATTAGAAACCAAGATCTTGGTGTTAGTTATGCTCCTGACCACTAGTGTGTTATTGTTTCTTAGGTCCTTTTAGTGAACAGTGAAAAAAAGTATAGATATGTATATATAAGGGAGAAGGAAATGGCAACCCACTCCGGCATCCTTGCCTGGAGAATCCTGTTCTTACCTGGAGAATCTCAGGGACAAAGGAGCCTGGTGGGCTACCGTCTGTGCTGTCGCACAGAGTCAGACACGACTGAAGCGACTTAGCAGCAGCAGCATATATATATAAATGTCATGAGTAGCTAATGGTATTTCCAATTCAAATCTAACATTACATAGCATTTCGTTAGAACTCCTTGACTTTGTAATTCCTTTCTCTTACACTAAGATGCTTGTTTTCTTAATGATACTTTTGCTCGTTTGCTTTATTCTGCCTGATAGACCAAACAGCGTCAAAATTGCAGCCCTAACAATACAAATAAACAAACTATTGGATAAAATATAGGGCTTTTTGCAGTTCACTTTTTCCTTAGAAGGCACTCAAAATAAAATGAACTGTATTTAAAAGTCACTTGAAATAACCATTTTTTTCTTTGAGATTAAACTAGTAATCTGATAGACAGACTAGGTTGTTTCAGTTTGTATTGTTAGAATTTATTGTTTTGTTTCTCTTAAAGTTTATTTATTTGTATATACACAGGATTTAAAAGTAATAACTGTGGTAAAAGATACAGCAGAGAGGTATTGCTTTCATTTTTTTAATCCATTTCTCCCAGTCCCCTGTAGGTGTAGTCATATATAATTCATTGTCCAAGCAGGACACTTTTGAGAATTACTTAAAATAATTGCAATTCATAACTTTTGAAATACTTAGGTATTGATTGAAAGTTAATTTTATTTTATCAGAGAACAAGCAACATAGTCACACACTGAAGTGATTCTTTAAAAGCTTTTAAGAATATCTAAATCTTTGTACATTAAAAACAACATATGTATATGTATAATAAAGCAAGTTTAAAACTAAAATAGTCTATCCTAGATAGACTAGAAAATGATTTTCACTGGTGGGCTTACATTGTTACCAATTATTATTATTGCCTGTGTACCATTTGGCATTTCTTACCACAAAAGTAATAAGATGCATGTGTATTGTGTGTTTATTAATTTCTTCCTTACTAATGAGAAAGATAAGCATCTTGCTTGCTACTTCACTTGTTAAATATATTTAAATTATTCTATAACTCTCTGCAGAGATCTTCTTCATCCTTTTTTATAACCACATAGCACCTTTTTAAGTAGATGGCCATGGCTTATTCAATAAATTCTCTGTTGATTATTTGAAATTCTTTAGTCTTTTGCTATTATATACAGTGTTGTCACAAATAGCCTTGTAGATATGCTGTTTGGATTTATAGAGGTGTGATCATAGAGTAGGTTCCTATAAATGAGATTTCTGGATTAGAAGGAAAACATACATGTAATTTTGTTAGGTATTGTCAAATGCACTATCATACAAGTTGTAATGCTTTGCATGCTCACTAGCAATATAGGAGAATCCTTGTTTCTTCTTGTCAACTAAACTGTTAAAAAGCTTTCACATTTTTGTCGATCAAATAGTAGGAAAGAGTATCTTAGTAGAATTTTACTTCTCTTGTAAGTGATATTATGGATCTTTTCATATGTTTGAAGACATTTGTTTTTCTTTTTGGGTGTAGGCTGCCCACTGTTCTCTTGGGCCTTTGGTATTTTCCTGCCAGCTTTCTCTGTGTTGAAGTATTATTTCTTTGTGCCTATTCCTAAGTTGCAAGTATATTTTTATAGTTTGTGATTCATATTTTGAAAAACATAAATATATACATATATGTGGTTTTATTGCTCATATTATACATATATATACACATATATGTGGTTTTGTTGCTCATAGTATACATATATATACACATATATGTGGACTTCCCAGGCGGCCCTAGTGGTGAAGAACCTGGCTGCCAATACAGGGGACATAAGAGATGCTGGTTTGATCCCTGTGTTGGGAAGATCCCCTGGAGGAGGGCATGGCAACCCACTCCAGTATTCTTGCCTGGAGAATCCCATGGACAGAGGAGCCTGGTGGGCTACAGTCCATGGGGTTGCAAAGAGTTTGACATGACTGAAGTGACCTAGCATGCATGCACACATATATGTATATATATGTTATTGCTCATGGATTTTTGAGTCATGTTTACAAAAGCTTTCTCCTATCTTATGTTTTAAGGAATTAATCATGTTTTCTTTTTTTTTTTCTTTTTTACATCCAGCTCTCTGATCCATTTGGAGTTTATTCTAGTGTACGATGTGAGGTACTGATCTAATTTTATCTTTTTCCAAGTGACTACCCAGTTGTCTCAGTATTATTTATTATAAATTTATTCTTTCTCACTGACTTGAGATGCCGCTTTATCATACACCAAATGTTTTTAAACCTTTTTTTTTGTACTTTAAATGTGCAAATATCATACTGTTTTAATTATAGACAATGATAATCTCCAAAGGTCAGAAGAGATAATGGTTTTCCCAAGGTCAATTTGCTGAAAAAAGAACCAAAAAAAAAAAAGGCAGGAAACATCAGATCCAGGATTTGATCCATGGCCACCCTATGTTGGTATGATTTAAATAACTTTCTAAGCTGAATCTTTATCTCGGTTAAATAAATCTATCTGACATATTAATAATTATCGTATGATTTAAATAACCTTCTAAGCTGAATCCTTATCTCGGTTAAATAAATCTACCTGATATATTAATAATTATCTTATAGATAATAAGTGGTAGTGTTTGGCAATTGTAAACTACAAAATTAGGGGTGCAGAGTATTTTTGTAGCACAAAGTGACCGTTTTGTTAAAGGTCATCTGACCCCTTTCTTAGTATATAGATTATTCTATAGTCTAATTCCAAAAGCTCTTGAAGAACCCTTTACTTCCCAGAAGTAGGATTTTATATGCATTCATACTAGTAGAGTATATATGGCAAACTTTGAGCTGATTTGAACCACAATGGACATGATGGGGGCAGGGGGAAGAATCTATCATTGTCTCTCATGACCCACATTCTAATGTCCATGTAATGAGAATGTCTATAATGAGTGCATTATTTTATAAATATGAAAAAAAACTAGAAAATAAATATGAGGCAAATAAATGCTGTTTCCCTAGTGTTATGCAGTTTAAAACGAAAACAAAAACCCACTGGCAGAAGCCATCTGGTCCTGGCAACCTTCCCGGTTAAACACTTTTAATTGCTTCTGTGATCTTGGTGGGTTGGTGTGCCATGGTTTCCAGGGATTTGGGAGAAGTGACCTTTATGAAGTAATCACAGTTTGTTGTACAAAAGAACTCCGAGTTACCAAAGCAGGCAGCATATCCTGCTCTGGGCCCATGGTAATGAGAATGGATCAGATGTGTGATGATGTCCTGTTTGGACTGACTTCACTGTTACATTCTACACATAGGGGTATTCCAGCAGCCAAGAACATTCCACCTGGGATGTTCTCTGAATTTGGGCGGTGATCATAAATCCAGTAGATTCTGTGAGTGAGTTGTGTTTATTTTTAGTCCTTCTTGTGACACCAAGTCCCTTTGCTATACCATCATCTTGAAGTTTTTATTGAAATATATATTAAAAAATTTTACCAAATGTTTTATTGATGTACAGTATTATGTTGGTTTCAGGTATATTTCATAGTGATTTGACATTTACATACATTATGAAATGATCATTGCGGTAACTCTAGTAACCATCTGTCCTCATACAAATTTATAAAATATTATCGACCATATTGCTTATGGTATATATTATGTTCCCATGGCTTATTTGTTTTATAACTGGAGAATTGTACCTCTTAATTCCATTCACCTATTTCTCCCATCCTTCTACAAATGGCAAAATTTCAGTTTTTTAGTGGCTGAGTATTCCACTGTGTGTGTATATATACATATACATAATATATATCTACATCTATATACCACATCTTATATATCCATTTATCTATTTTGGGAGAAGACATTTTCTGATATAGTGTTGATAATCCGTATCTATTTTTAATGTCATTCAGAATAAATTGAGCTCAAGCTCTCAAGTTATCGCCACTTTCTCTTTTATCCTTCCTCCTCCTCTTCAAATGTCTCTGAAATTTCTGAGGAGAATGGACTGTACCCTGACCCCTTGACAATCAGTCGCAGAATCAGACCTAGCATCTGGATCTGACTGTCTTTCCAGTGTCTTTCAATCGTCTGCACTGATTTCTCTAGGGCTCCAGAGGCTCATTCCTGCATTTATCCTACCCTTAACTGAATGGCTATTATGTAGCATGCATTATGTCAGGTATTAGGAATCCACCAATAAGTAAAATGTGGTTCTGTTCTTGAGCTGTCCTTATTCTGAGCATCTGTATTCTCAGAGAACAAATCCAATGAGGAATATTGTAGAAGGACAACTCTGTCCGAGCAACAAAGAAAAGAATGTTGTCCTGGGAAGTAGACAGCAAAGTCTGTGACCTGGCTTGGCTCATGGGTATGACCTTGGGCAAGATATGAACCTCTCTGAGACCTAGGTTTTTGTCGCTAGGGCAAGCTGGCTGGCTCAGAGATCTTTGGTCTTTTCTTCTTCTGACATTCTATTTCTCTCTCTGAAGGTTATTTTGTAACCAATAAAAGTAAGTTAAGTGAGTGAAGTCACTCAATTGTGTCTGACTCTTTGTGACCCCGTGGACGGTATCCTACCAGGCTCCTCCCTCCATGGGATTTTTCAGGCTAGAATACTGGAGTGGGTTGCCATTTCCTTCTCCAGATCGGGTTCCCCACCCAGGGATCGAACCCAGGTCTCCCACATTGTAGACAGACGCTTTACCATCTGAGCCAGCAGGGAAGTCTCTAGGAAACTATATAACAAATAGTTGGGCTTCCCAGATGGCGCTAGTGGTCAAGAAGCCACCTGCCATTACAGAAGACATAAAAGACGCAGGTACTATCCCTGGGTAGGGAAGATGTCCTGGAGCGGGGGCATGGCAACCCACTCCAGTATTATTGCCTGGAGACTCCCATGGACAGAGGAGCCTGGTGGGCTCGAGTCCATGGGGATTGCAGAGCTGGACACGACTGAAGTGACTTATTAGCACATATAACAAGTACCTACCCCCATTTGTGGGTCTGACAGTTCCCAGAGTTAGCCCTTATGTTTCTAGGATTTGGTACACTCTTCTTTCTTTGTAGCCGTAACACCAGGTGTGTGATTTTTATGGGTGGGCCTGCTGAACTCTTTGTAGATTCTATGACTGTTCCTACAAAAATCAGGGCTGGTTGTTAAGCAGCCTGCTACAGTCCTGCTCAGCTAAAGTCAACACAGAGAAACTTCATTGAATTTTTGCATTTCTAATCTCTAGTGGGTGATGATGTAGTCCTTTCCACTTTAGTGTTAAAGATAAGAAAAACTAAAAAAGTATTACAAAGTTAAGCTGTTCATAATTATTTTCTTATTTCTGTGGAACCAAACTGGCATCCCTCTAAATGGAATAAATATTTTGCCCTAAGTGTGGAAAAGTGATTCCTCATAACTTTATAGCCTTGTGCAAGAAGGATAGCTGTATTAGCTTGTTAACATTGGGTCATTCCTCAGTTGTTGGACAAGTAGGACATTAGAGATACTGGGTAATGTTTCTTCTCTCTAGAAAATTAGATTTATATGCATGTTTAAAAGCACAGTCGTCATTCTGTCAGTTAATTTCAGCTCTTGTATATGTTTATTTGTACTATTAATAAATCATGGAAAAAAGTTTTTAGAATCATCATTTTATAGTGATTAAAAAGACTGCATAAGGAAAACGGGGATATAGGATCTGTGGTGATTGCTTCCGGAAAGGCTCTAAGTGGTTTAATTTGTGGTCAGAGTCCCTGACAGCCTGGGGGGGAAGTCTTGACAAGTGGGAGCTTCTCCTCTCTGATGGGTAAGAAATCTGTAAAAAAAAAAAAAAAAAAAAGAAAAGAAAGAAAAGAAAACTGCTGATATTATTAACTGGAGATCATAGAATTTCAGAGTTAATAAAGACCTGTGTGGTCATTTAGCTCTGCCTCTTCATTTCTCTGATTAAGAAGTGAGGCATAAGAAACTTAAAACTCTGTTCAACAGTAATGACACTTAGTAGCAGAACCAGATTGAGGAAAGGGACCGCCTTTCTGGGGTCTTCCCATTGTTTGCACTGATTTCCCTCTAGAGGCTCATTTATTCACTTACCCAAGTATTGGCTGAATGACCGTTATGCAGCACGTGCTGTGCCAGCTACCAGGAACCCAACAATAAGTAAAATGTGGTTGCTTCTCTCTCGGAACTCAGTTTCATGTATCAGAAGTGGAGTGAAAGTCGCTCAGTCATGTCTGACTCTTTGCGACCCCCAAGGACTATACATACAGTCCATGGAATTCTCCAGGCCAGAATCCTGGAGTGGGTAGCCTTTCCTTCTCCAGGGGACCTTCCCAACCCAGGGATTGAACCCAAGCCTCCTGCATTACAGGCGGATTCTTTACCAGCTGAGCCACAAGGGAAGCCTCCTTGTACCTTTGAAAAGTTATAAACTGGTACCCTTCTCTACTCCAAAAAGGAAATTTCAGTATGGATTGGTTCAATAGAATTGTGATAAAGCCCTATCAGTTAACTCTTATCCTTAGGTTTTTTACTCCTTAAATTACTTTTGAATTCTTTTCCAAGGCTTATTCTTTTATCAATGCTTTTATGAAGTCATGACAATATCGAGCCCATTATACATGATCAGTTCCTTCATCATTTTTGGACTTCTGCCTATTTATGATTGATTGGCAGGCCAATTAACTTTTTTTTCTCATTTCTAGCCATTTAAAAAAATATCTAAAAGCATAACTCAAATTAAACAATTTTAGAAACACTTAGTCTTCACATAATACTCTTGCAGTTAATATACATACATTGGGAAAGGCATAGAAGAGAGACTGCCCTAGATTTGAGATCTAGATCCTTTACTTGCTATATGACATCAGCCAATTTATTTTAAATTCTGAGTCTCCATTTTATCAAGCCTAAAGTGGAAATAATAATTCCTACCTTGAAATGCTTTGGGGATGCTAAAATGAGTGTGTGTATAGTTCGAAATATAAGGATGGGAAGAGGAATAGTCATAACTCCTAGCCTTTGAGGAGTAAAAGTCAATAAATATTGTTATAATTTTTCTATTTTTTTCATATTTCTGACAATGCAGTTCTAGTGAACTGATAGGATTTGCAGCCTTGCAGAATTAAAGAAATTTCCAAGGGTTATCCTATCGACTTTACTGCCTTTAGATCAAACTG